AATGCAATCCAAGGTGGCAGCTAGATGACGAGGTGCATAGAATGCTGGGCTGGGAGGCAGAAAGACTTATCTTTGTGAATTCAAATCTGGTGTCAGACACTCACTAGTTGTGTGACCCTGGGCAGGTAACTTAACCTCTGTTTGCCTCAGTTTCCTTATCTGTAAAATTGGTTAATAATAGCACTATATTCCAGGGTTATTGTGAGGATCAAATGAGATAATAATTATAAAGCATGGTGCCTGGCATATAGAGTAAGTACTATATAAATGTTAGCTATTATTAACATTAATTAGTGTTATTACTGTTTTATTCACATCCTCTCCTCTGACGCAAGCTCTGAGCAAGTCACTCAACCTCTTGAGACTCAGTTTCTTTATCTGTAAAATGGAGATAATAATACTGTACTACCTACTGTAAAGGGTATTGTGAGGCTTAAATTATATAATTATTAATATTATATATAATTTTATACATATTTATATTTATATGAATTATATATAATATATGTAGCTACAGATACTGTATTATATATAATTCATATACATATAATTTGAGCCTCACAATATTATTAATATAATTTGAGTCCCACTATGTATATAATTATATACATATATATTATATTAATAAAATTGTGAGGCTAAAATCATTTAATTATATTTATATGAATTATTATATTACATATTATATATAATTCATATAAATACAATTTAAGCCTCAATATATATTTATTCATTTATTTATATATGTACATATGTAAAACTTTGTGAAGTACAAAGCATTATATATCTGAGACATGATAAAATAACTGATGCATACACACACACACACACACATATGTGTACACATACATAATGCTTTAAGGTTGAAAAAATGCTTGTCCTCACAACAACCCTACGAGATAAGTCAGGCTAACACTATTACTCCCATTTTACATGGGAAGAAACTGAGGCTCACACAGTTATTAGATGTTGGAACCTGGGTCTCCATATTCCAAGTCCAGTGTTTTTTCCACTAAATCACAAATGAGACAGAGCAGAAATCCTTGGATCATTCTTCCTGAAATGCTGAGGGAGGATGCTTTCCTACTCAGTATGATCTAATCCAGTAGCTCAGTGGGACCAGGCATTTGATGCTTTTGTAGAAAAAAACCTTAAAATGAACTCCAGCATAATCAGAAATGTAAAGGTTAAATAGAAAGGTATCTCTTCTTAGGCTACTAAAGGGTTTCTTTCTTAACCACTTCTCTGTATCCTCTGAGATCTCCCCCAGATCCAACCCCCCAGGCCATCCCAAAATCAGGGAGTCGAAATTTAGGCAATTAAATGTTCCTCAGCCTCAGGCAATTAAAATAAGATATAAATCAAGGAGTTCCTTTGATCTTTTCTCTTCCAAAGGGAGGGTGAAGTCATCCCCAAGACAGTTGTCCTGGGGGATATTACCAACTCCATGAAGGTCACAGGGGAACAGAGCTGCCTGGTTTTTAGAGGAGTATTTTCTTTGATCTTAGAGATGGAAAGGGTTTCAAGACATGATCTGGCCCAGTCCCCTCAGTGATTTTAGCACAGCAATGCCTGGTCCTACCCTTGGGTCAACCATCCTAGGTTCTGGCAAGATGATATTCCATCTGCCTTGTGTCTCAGTGAGCATTCTCTCTGCTGCTGTCCCCTGCCCCTTGGTTGTACAGAAACATTGCTTCTAGGGACTGTCTACTCTGGGAAAAGCCCCTTCAAAAGGAGGGAAGAAATTATCATCAACATCCCTTCTCTGCTCCCTCTGACACCTGTCCTCCTCTTCTCTCTGATCTTTCTTCCTTTCTGTAAAGTGCGTCACTTTACTCTGTGTTCCTTCTGTTTCATCTGCCTTGCCAACAGAGTTCATTGAAGTGGGCAGCTCCTCCTCATCAAGCTCAGCCCTCATTGTTCTTTTGTGATACAGCAGTAAAATAGAGAGCTAAGGCCTATAAGCAAATGGGTTTACAAAAGAAAAGTAATTTGGACAATTAAAAAAAATAAACCAAATGAATCTAATTAATGCACTATGCTCACAGGCCACTGAAGGCTAGAAATGTAGTCTGAATTTAGTAGCTGAATAACTTCAGTTGAATCAATAATACACTTAATAGGAGCCCATTTAACTGCTTGGTTATAATTATGCCATAATAACAATTCTTCAGTTCCTTGTCACTTCAGATTTTTTAAAGGCTCTCCTAATTTTCTATTATAGTTAAGTGTAGATATTTCTGAAGAACTATACCTTCATTTAATACAGTTGTGACTATGAAACAAGAGGGTTTTCTGCAAAACTGTAAAGAAAACTCACATTCATTACTTCACTGATTGAAACTGAGCAGAATTTGACTAAATAGTATCAATACTAATGAATCATCTCTTCTTTCCCTCTCCACTGTAGCAACAAAAAGTAATCTAAGCTAACAACAACTCCAGCAGTAAAAAATGATTCTGAGCTTGGGGGAAAATGAGCATTGCATGAAGAAATTAGCCCATAATTTTAGCTCTGTAAAGTTTGTTTTAAACTGCCAATGGGAGCTAGCTAAATCATTTCCTATGGAAACCAAAGATTTTGTTCTCTTCCACCATAGTTTGTGTATTAGCCTCAAAGAACCAAAATAAACCTGAAAATAGGTATTTTTGTCTATGAGTACAAGTAGGTGATCACTGGTCAGGCATATTAGAGAACAGTTTCATAATTATTAAGATAGCATGGTAGGCAGAGTCTAATAAGATAAAAATTAATAGGAAGAAATGTAAAATTCTTTACTTTGGCTCAAAAAAATCAATTACACAAGTAAATAAGGTTACATTGTATAAAATCAATTACACAAGTAAATAAGGTTACATTGTATAAAATCAATTACA